GCTAAACTTGTTGGAAGCTATGGAGATTAATAAAATGAGATGTTCGAATCTATTAATTAATTAATTACAAATTGGAATTAAATGCGTCTCCTTTGTTAGATCGATTGTTGATTTTATTACATCTTTAGAGACTTTGTGTGGCATACGTCTACTTCCAGTACAGAAAATCAATGTGTTAGATTTTTTAGCAACCCGTCACAAAGTCATTTTGTCAGAAATAGAAACAATAAAATTTTGAACTTAGTCTTGCATAACACCATCAATAATTGCATGGTAGAACGTGCAATAGCTGGATTTGTCCAGCTATTGCACGTTCAATTCTTGTATAAATTCAATTTCCTAATTATTTATATAGGGCATACGATTTCCTACCTCACTGGATATTAATTTAAATTTAAAAAAAGCTAACTTTCTTTTCATGTACGATATATTTAAACTCGGACTGGTCATATCTTTCCCATGAATTGGATGTTAAGTCCGCATGCTCGTTATTTTATGATAGACAGTATGAAATTATTAACATATGTGTGCCTCGTTTTGACTAATAATAAATATCCTCCCTGGTTTAATTGAAATATAATATACAATATAAATAAGAAAACTAGATGTCACAAAAGGTTCAGAAGTACCGGTAGTCCCGCAGAATTCTAAAATTTTAAATGTCTGACGTTAAAGATAAAATCTGGAATCTGGGTCTCCTATTAAAGCTATCTACTGAAAATTGAATATGACATTAAAAAATATTCAAAAAAAATTTGGTCGTGTATTAAGAACAAATCTCCGGTGTATTCAGTCAGCTTTATGAATTTTACACTGAGTTACATTCTCTGCAAGATGTACTCAACTCTTTTGCACTATGTTTTCGATAGTCATATTCAACACTTTTAATGGTGTTAGTAATTCACACCACTCCGAAAATATAAATATAAAGCTTTCTTCGAACCTGAGGTGGAAAAAGGTCTTGAAGTAATTACACCTAAATTCACAGTTGTTCCAGATTTAATTGCAGCATTCCTTATACATGACTGTCGTTTTGTTCTGTCTAAACCGCTCCTAATACTTTTTAATCTGTGTCTGAGAAACCAAGTCGTTCCTGGTATATACGAGCCCTAACAACTAAATGTTCTTACGATGTAAAAAATGATAAAAAAGAAATTTTAAAATCTATTTTTTTTTTTTGCTTTGTTGATTGAATAATCAATTTACGCACATTACGATAGCACATTTTTTTTTTCGCGTGAATTACATAGCAAAATAACGGAAACATACCAAATTTGCTGACAAATAAATATTCTGACGCGAATGTTTATTGACCAAGAGATCGAAAGGAAGAAAGAAATATGTAGTGTACTAGATGTCGGTTCAGGTTGTATCTTTCAGTTTGTATAATAGTTGATAAGAAAATGACGCGTGGTGTTGCAACAAACAAAAAACTGCGAGAAATTATCATATCTCAGTACTGCAGAGGTAAATCAATACAAAAAAATTCAAATGACTTGAGTATTGCAAAATCAACAGTCGGGGATATTATAAAAAATTATGGAGAGAGAGCTAGTGTTAGCGTTCGTGGTAAAAATTCAGGTCGACCCCGTAAAATCACTAAAAGAGATCATCGTATTCTGGTCAAGATTTGTAAAACTAGCAGACGAAGCGTCTTACGACAAATTCAAGCCCAATGGAATCACTTAAATGTCTCCAGGGAATGTTGTAGACAATGGATGCATAAGTCTGGTTTGAGTTTTTATAAGGTAAGTTTACAATTTTTCCTGTTTCAATATAAAAATTATTAATATTCTATGATCTGCTTTTGTTAAAGGCAAAGGAAAAACTAGTATTAACGTCTGTCTATTCAGAAGAAAAAACGTTTGGATTGGGTAAAATCTAAAATATCCTGGACAACGGAGACGTGGAGTAACGTTATCTTCAGCGAAGAATCAAAATTTTCACAAAGATTGTCTAAAGCGCACGGTAAAATTTCCCCAGGGTGTTATGATATGGGGGTAAAGGGGTTGGCAACTACGAGTTCATTGATGCAGAAAAATACCAACAAATTTTATCAAGAAGTTTAATTCCATCAATAGAACGAACTTTTGGAAATTAAAATTTTATATTTCAACAAGACCGTGCGTCCTGCTATACCGCGAAAACAACAAAAAAGTGGTTTGGGGACCATAATATGAAAGTTTTATCGTGGCCATCAAGTAGCCCCGACTTGAATATTATTGAAACTTTATGGCATCGGATGAAAAAGGCTTTGCGTAATAATCCTCAGCGTACAGCAGGCAAAGCCAAAAATCACCGAAATTTGGACCAGTTTCACCCCCGAATATTGCAAGACTTTGGTAGATTCTATGCCAAAACGCATAAAAGCTGTTATTGCCGCGAAAGGTGATGTTACTTCTTATTAATGTTCGATTTAAAGTAAAAGATTTAAATGTGTCCGAATATTTGTCAGCAAATTCGGTATGTTTTTGATATTTTGTTATGTAATTTATGTGAA